AGCTCCACCATTCTCCCTCCAACCAGACTTTGATGTCTGAAATCATCTTGTATGTCTCCTCTCTTCTCTTGCTCATTTGGTTTTCTGTTTTGTTTTTTAAATATATTTTTATTGATTTCAGAGAGGGAAAAAAAGGAAGAGAGAGATAAAAACATCAATGATGAGAGAGAATCACTGATTGGCTGCCTCCTGCACAACCCCCACTGGGGACCGAGCCTGCAACCTGCGCATGTGCCCTCGACCGGAATCAAACCTGGGACCCTTCAGTCTGCAGGCCAATGCTCTATTCACTGAGCCAAACCAGCTAGGGTCTCTTGCTCATTTGTGAAGTCCTGTTCATTCCACCTACACAATAGCTTACAAGCCATCCCCTCTTCTACATTTCCACTGCCTAATCCTAGTCCAGTCCCCAGTACCCCTCACTATATCATCCCAGTAGTTTCACAATTCATTTCCTACATCAATATTTACGTGTCCTGCATACAAATGTCAGATATGGCAAAATACTTCTTAAACAAAAATATCCTTTTAAGGCTATAGTCATTCTACTAGGTTTGAAATGACATCTCATTATGGTTTTAATGTGCATTTCCCTGATGTCTAATGATATTGAATGTTTTTTCATGTGCTTATTGGCCATTTGATCATCTTTTCTGAAGTGGAAATTTATGGTTTTTGAAAACCTGAAGTATTGGGTTGTTCATCTTTTAATTATTGGTTTATATATTAATGATTAATATTCATCAGACATATGTATAACTATTTTTTAACCAGGCTGTGACTCACTTTTATATAATGGCATCTTTGATGAAGAAAAAAAAGACTATTCAATATTGCATCACTATTCACTGAGTTAAGTCCTCAGCTTTGCATTTAAGCTGATCAGACAATGAATCCAATGTATACCTCCAAACTAACTTTGAACTAAATTTCTTGGGTACTTACTATGCTTCACATACTAAATTGAGCACTAGAAATAAAAAGGTGAGGAATTCACCTCCTATCCTCAAGAGGCTCAGAATCTAATAGGGAAGACAGACATGAAGAAAAGAAGAAATTCCCCATACAAAATGAGGTGTTTTAGAAAAGGTCTAACAGGAAGGTGTGAGCACAAAGAGAATGCAAGAGAACTGGTGCTGTCACAGGGGACTGAGGGAATAAGAGTTGGAATGGCGCCAGAACCGGTTTGGCTCAGTGGATAGAGCATTGGCCTGCGGACTCAAGGGTCCCGGGTTCGCTTCTGGTCAAGGGCATGTACCTTGGTTGCGGGCACATCCCCTGTGGGGGGCATGCAGGAGGCAGCTGATCAATGTTTGTCTCTCATTGATGTTTCTGGCTCTCTATCCCTCTCCCTTCCTCTCTGTAAAAAATCAATAAAATATATATTTTTTTAAAAAGGGTTGGAATGGCTTCACTATTGTCAAAGAGGAAAGGGATTAAAGAAGCAAGAGTGGGAGGGAAAATAAAGATAAAAGATATAGAATCCCTACCATTTATCAACCTCCCCTCCCCCCCCCCGCCCCCAAAGCAGTGGTTTTAAACTAGAGACAATTTGGAGCCCATGGCAACATAAGAAAAAATTTCTGACTGTCACACTGGGGAGAAAGGATATTACTGTCAAGCAGTGGATAGAAGACATTCTACCTTACACAGGACAGCTCCACCCCCCCCCCCAAAAAAAACACACAAAAAACAAAGAAGGATTTGAGCTTGCTACAGCAACAAAGTCTAACCTATTCCATAGGTGCTCTCCTCTATGAGACAAGCCGGTATATAGACTTAGACAGTGTTAAAAAAAAAAACAACCCATAAAAATAAAAAAAAAACAAAGAAGGATCCCATCGAAAATGCAAAATGCCAATGCAGTTCTGAGGTTGAGCAACCCTGGTCTAGCGCCACAAGGAACAGGAATTAAAGAGGGGATATAGTTGAGATAACTCCAGTTGGAACACTGACGATACAGTGATGGCAAGGAAGGAGAATGAGTTATGCCTGGACAACCTTGCTCAAAAAAACCAAAGAGGAGAAAGTAAAACCGAACAGAGAGCAAAGCTATTAACAAATGATCCACATCTCCTGCTCATGAACAGAGACAGATTTGATTGTCAAGTCAAGACAATCAACTGTGAGGGGATGGAGAAGATGGGGACAAAGAGGCTGAAGCAGAAGCCAGCAACACTTCCTGTTACACATCATCCGATTCAACGCAGGTTCACTACACAGCGGGTACCAGATGTCCCGGGGGAAACACAGAGATAAATGAATCACAATCCACGCCTGCGAGGAGGCTGTATTTCAGTGGGAAGAATTAGATAAGTACATAAGTTATTATAATAAAAGGGAAAATAAGACACATGTCCTAAGAGAAAAGCACTGGGATTCAAATACACGCATCTTGCAAAGATTCAATGTAGGAAGAAAGGATAATTCTACTTAGTATATCTTGATCTTCCAGTGAAAGAAAAAAGTCATAGGACAGTGAATTCTCCATTTTTGTTTGCAAAGCCATAATAAACATAATTAGCAATATAAAATATCTTTACTTCCAAATAGCCCAATTGCTAACAACAACCTACCAAGGATAAAGCAGGATCCTTCTATAGAGTATCCCTGCAGAGATCTGACTTTCTGTTGAGGGACCCATGAAAAAGCTAGTTCCCATATCCTAGAGAAAGTCCTGCATTAAGAACTTAGTTGTTTGTTTTTTTAACTTTGGGTGGATTTTATTTCTCCTAAGATTAGAAATAACCTCTGAAGGGGCCTCAAATTCAACATGAGAAAATAGTTAGAGAAATCCCTAATGGTCCAGCCAACATACATTTTTCATAAAGTGATTATCTTCCTGCAGCCTCAGCTTCCTAAGCCTTTCCCCCTCCTATAATTGTTTTCCTTGTAGGCCAGGCAACAATTACCACTGCTACAAGACTGAGGAGGTTCACAAGCAATATATTTTACAATACATAAGTGTAGTGTCTCTGATATCTGGTGCTTTTATCACTAATTGCACTATAAAATGCGCTATTAAAACAGGGACAAACAAGATTGTAAAAATCACATAATGGACCATGACCACTTACAAAAGCCATTCATAAATGTTACCATACCATTTCTATTTCTTTAATTTTCCAGATATATAGTTATTTTTCGAAATTCTTACTTCTAAGGGATTCCAACAAGAAAAATAATATTATTTGGAAATTACATATACATGCTTGCCCTTGAATATACTGTTTTGTAAATTTGCTCAAAGTTAAAATGATATAGAACATTAATGTGCTATGAACACTGAATTCCTAGGGACATTTACATGGTCGCTTGAAAAAAATTATAGGCCTGGCAAATGCACTTAGGCTGTGATTTCTATTCAAACTTAGAGCATGGGACTGAAGACATGAAAATAAGCACAGAAGGATTTCATAATTCTAATCTATGAAATATACAATATAATAAAGCCAATAAAGCATTTATATCTGTAAAAATCCAGAATGATCAAATATTACTGCCAATTACTGGAGGACATGGGTCACTGGATCTGCCTATAGTATTTCATATGTCATTAGCACTAATTCATGGGCAAATTTTCAAGTTTGCAGGTCAGCATTTCATTGTCTTCACTATTTATTCATATGTCAATCCATTTAAAATAAGGACAATCAGGAATAAGAGAGAATAAAAATAGAAGTATTTGTGTTACCCATTAATAATTCTAATGAATACTTAGATGGAATTAGAAATTTTATGCAGTGGCCCAGCCGGCATGGCTCAGTGGTTGAGCATCAACCCATGAACCAGGAGGTCACAGTTCAATTCCCAGTCAGGGCATATGCGTGGGTTGCAGGCTCGCTCCCCAGTGTGGGGTGTGCGGGAGGCAGCCGATCAATGATTCTCTCTCATCATTGATGTTCCTATTTCTCTCTCCCTCTCCCTTCCACTCTGAAACCCATTAAAGATATATATATATATTTTTTTTAAAAAAGATGGAATTTTAAGTTGCGACTCAGATGAAATATTGGGATTGTCTCTAAGTTTCATTACCCCATTACCAGAGACAAACTAGTTCTAATAATACCAGAGAACACAAATACCACACACCAAATAGTGGCTAGCCCCAACAAAACTAAAGATAAGTAACCAATTAATGAACTGGGATTGTTTCTTCTTTTAGTGGGATCATTTTCTTTTAACTGAAAAAGAAACAGATGCTTTGATCTTAAGTGTCAGCAATAACGTGTGACTGAGCTGGGGTCGGACATTAAAATGCCATCACTTGTGCAAGTCCACTGTACCTAGTCTCAAGTATTTTCTTCAGTCCCTTTTTCTTGTTGGTATCCCTTAGAAGTAATGGCCCAACTTCACTAAAATCAAAACCTACTTTTAAAACACATTGATAAGCTGCAATTACAGACATCTTAATTGTGTACCTAAATTATTATGTTTTCTCCTAGAGATATTAGCTAGTGCTCAATCCTTCAAAAGGAAAACTGTCAGAAAGCCAAGAAGATATATTATATATAAAACATTTCCTCTAGCCCTGGCCGGTTTGGCTCAGTGGATAGAGCATCGGCCTGCGAACTAAAGGGTCCAAGGTTCGATTCTGGTCAGGGGCACATGCCCAGGTTGTAGGCTCGATCCCCATGGGGGACTTGCAGGAGGCAGCCAATCCATGATTCTCTCTCATCATGGATGTTTCTATCTCTCTCTCCCTCTTCCTTCCTCTCTGAAATCAATAAAAATATATTTTAAACCTCTAACTTTAGGAACTGAAATCACTGAATTCAGTAGCAACCATGTTAAAATATTTTTAATGGTAAGAATAATTTACTTTTCAAAATGCCGAATACTCATAATACTCTAAAACTATGTTGGCTAAGCCTAAATTTCCATCAGAAGATTATTTTTCACCAGTTCCTCTCCCAAAATTATTCCCTGAGACATGCCAAAGCTGTGTTACTAAATGAAGTTAAAGGGGGCAAACACACGAGCCCACATCCAAAACTTACTTTGTCAGATGCCTCAGAAGCCAAGAGGTTAGTTGCAAGGGTTTGTAGCTTATGATGGGCCATATTCTTCAGAGCAGCAAGGCTCCGTCTTGTCACGGCTTGTTTCAGGTTGACTGCGGGATGACTAAGCGAATCCACTGCGGCAGGAACCGCTTCATCACAAGCATTCAGTATCTCCACGGCCGTTATCCCCATCACACAACGATCCAATGCACCTGAAAGACATATTACACATATTACACACACCATACAATTTTAAATAGTTTAAGACCAAAAAAAAAAAAAAAGCAGGAACTTTTTTATGTAGAAATATGTTTTAACAGTGCCTCCCGGAAACATTTTCTTGTATTTCCTTCCTCTAATGATCTCCCATGTAGCATTACCTTTATTGTGTCCCTTCCCGTAAGACCCCTACCACAACTTCCCAACAAAGGCGAGTTCAGAGCCAAGATTTTAACGACCTCCCCCAGGCTTTTCCACTTTCTCTACTCTTCCAAGACGGTCTCCTGGATCAATCCATACCATTACTCTACTACGAACATCAAAGCCCATGACTTCACCTTCCTCTAAACAAAAAAACAAAACACAAAGTTTGCTATTTTTCCAGTTTATTCTACTTAAACAATTCCTAACGCTTTTCTTTCTCTAGGAAATCTCCACTAAACGGGGGGCGGGGTGGGGATTATAACTTCTCGTTCTATCTGCAAATTTCTTGACTCTTATTCTTAACACCCAATGGAATGTCTTCCGGTACTACTTCAGCTTGAAGCCACTTCAACGCTTCTTCACTGGGCCATACTTTCCATTTAACTCCATCTATACATTTATTGTCTAAGTTAAGGTGCAAACTCCTTCCTATAAAGCAATTCAATAGCAAACAGAAAATTATACAATATGCATGTGTAGTTTTAGTGTGATATGGCTTCATTTGTAAAAATACATTCCCAGAACACTAAGAGGGATAAAGTATCTCCTCAGAGTTTAAATACATTTCATACATCAAACTTTGACTGAAACTGACTTATTTAGCCTCATTATTTATTTATTTAATAAATAAATAAATTTAATAAATAAATAATGTCAATACCTTCAGGATGTGCTTAACTAACTCCCCAGAGACCTTTACATCATTAGTTAAAGCCTGAACAGCAGGGGGAAATAATGTATACTCCCTGTTATATTTGATATCCAAAATAATTTCTGCTTCTTCATATTTATCTCAATTAAAGACTGCCATGTTGACTAATAGTTTACCAAAAATCCTCCTGAAGGTCAGAATTGTGAATTCTGTGTTATGTATGGTTTACAGTAAAATGGGCTTAATAATACTAAACTGGTTATAAGAATAACATCCTCCAGCATATCTATAGTTAGGGGCCATTTGTCATTTCCTTCTATGGAAGTTACTGGAAAGTAACTTTGTCTTTCAATAAGGTTGCATTTGTCAAAAATATAAAATTTAAAGTATCTGAAATATTCAAGTATCATTATTTAAGTATGTATCTGAAAAACTCAGGAAAATTATACTACCTTCCTTTATCATATTTATTTCATTTTTTAAAGTCCTATACAAGTTTATCAGTTTTGTATTTAAAATGTAATAATTGTTAATTTAATATTTATAGTATTTTAAAAGAGCATTTTATGAATGTCATTATTGCTATAAAAACATTCTTCAATTCCCAAAAAAACATATTTCTAAATATAAGGTCATATTCCCAAGTTCAACAAAGCAACAGATTAAGCACCATGTATAATAACACACATGCATGTACACACACAGAGAAACTTGTACACAAACACACATATATACATACTTACATTATGTCTGATACTCACCAAGTAACTATGTCATTTTATTCTCCCATTAACCTTATAAAATAGAAACTATTATCATCTTCATTTTATGGAGAAAATTGAGGGACAAAAGCCCAGTGACTTGCTGTAGGTCACAGTGCTAGTAAGTGGTCGATTCTAAATTCAAACCAAGCGTTCTGACTCCAGAGCCCAAGACAAACTCTGTATAATTAGTTGGTGGAGTGGACCAAATCAGCAAACACAAAACTGTGCTGCACAACAGATACAATGTGACCAAAAGGACACAAAAGTAAGATTTTTATGCATACAAAATTGCATATGTAGTATGACAGCAATTCTGGTTTTAAAAATGGACAGATGCCCAGCTGGTGTGGCTCAGTGGTTGAGCGTCGACCTATGAACCAGGAGGTTGGGGTTCGATTCCCGGTCAGGGCACATGCCTGGGGTTGTGGGATCCATCCCCAGTGTGGGGTGTGCAGGAGGCAGCTGATCAATGATTCAATGATTCTCTCTCATCACTGATGTTTCTATCTCTCTCTCCTCCCTTCAGCTCTGAAATCAATAAAAATATATTAAAACAAAAACAAAAACATGGACAGAAATAAGACTATAAAAAAACATGTTACAATGTTAACATTTAGCGACCTGGGTTCATCTTTTCTAATACTTTTGTGCTTTTAAAATTTGACAAAAGGTATGAACCTCTTATACTATTAGACAAAAAAAGGAAAAGATAAATGCAAAAACAGTCTCTGAGAATGCTTCCTCTTGACAAGACTGTCTTTATATTATCTGTTAAGATAAGAACTCTAAAAAAAAAAGGATTGCTGACAGTATGGCTATCTGTTCCAAAAATATATATAAGAACTCCTACTGCACCACAGTGCAGGCAGAAATATAATAAATAAATAAATAAATAAATAAATAAATAAATAAATAGATATTCTGATTTCAAAAAAGGACTATTTAAAACCAACAAACAAAAAAGATGAAATAAAGGGAAAAAATTTAGTAGAAATACTATACAATATTTCTACAATACAACTAGGGACGTAAAAAGAAGTTTTAATCACTAGTACATGATTACTTAAATGAGTAAAAGTAGAATAAAATGTGTTTTTAAAGCCTAAACTAATAAACACATTCAATTACATACTTAGAGATTTCCCAGAGAAAACTAAGAGTCTATGTTAAACATGATAGATCACTGCCTTTACTTTTAAGCTAAGCATTACTTGCTCTATATTATGCCTTAAACATAAAATCTTTGGAATTGAAACTTCAAATGTTCTCTCTAGAACTTGAAACTTTCATTTCAATCACCTCCTACAATTAACTGCCCTGTGTTGCTTTTCTGCTGTTCAAAAATAAAAGAGGGTTTTCTCTATTTCCACTGTTTCTGAATCTGAGACAAAAGTGATTTCTTCATCTTGCTCACATTTTGCTTCATGAATTATATAGATCACTGAATTTTGGGTCTGTTATCTATATGTCTGTCTTGATGTGTATATTGTCTTCAATTACATTCCTTTAAAAATTGGCCAACTACAAGTATTTAGTATAGTACAACACTTAGAAAAAGCAGCGATCAAAAATAAAAGTAGCAATCTTACTACATTTCAAGGCTTTTTTTCTCTTATAAAAGATTTTTTAATTTCTAGGAAATCAAATGTACCCATTTAATTTTCGTGTCTATCTCTCTTTTTAAAAAATATTATTTTTATTGATTTCCGAGAGGAAGGGAGAGGGAGATTGAAACATCAATGATGAGAGAGAATCATTGATCAGCTGCCTCCTGCACGCCCCCTACTGGGGATTGAGCCCACAACCTGGGCATGTGCCCCTGACCAGAATTGAACCCAGGACCCGTCAGTCCGCAGGCTCACAGTCTATCCACTGAGCCAAACCGGCTAGGGCTCGAATCTATCTCTTAACACTTGTTCTTACCAGTATCCATCTGCCAGACGTACACAGAGCCATCTGAACATCCCACTACTAGGTAATCATCAGAAGGCCTCCACTTAATCACTTGAATGGGGAAAAGATGACGAGATGCCAGCATAATGCATTTTTTCTCTCGCAAACTTAGGAGTCCTACTGAGTGGTCACTGGCTACAGAGCAAACGCAGTGCTGCACTCTTGCCTGAAAAGAAGAATAAACCTTAATTACATTTAGATTAAATTCAGAGTAAAATGGATCCTATCCTCCATAAGGTATACCACACCTAATTAGGCCATCATGACCCCTGAAAAACCATCCATAATATTTGGTTGTGCTGAAAATATGGTCCTTTACATTATACATAAAACACCCACTTCAGTCATCACCACACACACACACACACACACACACACACACACACATACACACTCACACACACTTAAGCCTTGATTAAGGGTGGAAAAGATGCGTTGGAAAAATCCGCTGTTCACATGTGAAGATGGCCTTACTAGAATGATTGCAGAGCTGGGGGAACATTGATCTGTTATTATGTGTTCTCTTTCCACAGTGTGAACTTCCCTTTGTTAGCTGCCAGGGCTGCTCTCCGTGGTGCTGCTTTCTGCTTGTGACTCTCATTTAGACCCATGCTCTTCCCTGCTCCTCTGCTCCAAAACAATGCCCTCCTGGTCCCTCTGCCACAATCATTTCTGAGGAGCCACGGATAGTCTGTATTATCTGCGGATGTGCTTCACAGCTTCTGTCTATAATGTCAGGGATCACACCACCTCATCCACTCACAATAGCCAATTAAACATTCTGCTGCGCATTTTCTGTTCGTCTCCGGTTTTTGCCCTTCAATTTCTTTTTAGCACAAGATGCAATATAAATAATCGAACAAAGATGGTAAAGATTTTTCACTAGCAACAGAGAACACAATCCACGACCTGGAAAATTAAAAATGAGTCTTTATACTTTTTGAGAGAATTTCTAAGCAATTTGAAAACTTAATTAACTTTTTTAGTGACTCAGTAGATTATGCTTTTAGCACATGCTCAGAAGAAACCATATAAAAACAGCCATCTGAAACTCATGATTGTATATACTGAGGCTACTTATTCCGGATGAGGCCCACTGCACTATATATACACTATCCCTGCAATGCACCCAAAGGGGAAAGCTCTCCCACTTCACCCTGCTGGCCTTCGCTTAAGTAAAATAGCCTGTTCTTAGCTAAAGAACAATAGCTCACTGATTGGTCTAGCTCATTGAGTGAAAAATGCTGACATGTATCAAATTTCTTTAAAAAGGGAGGGTGTGGGAGGCCAAATGTACATGGGGAACGCAAGTTACAACTGCTTTTATCCACAGAACTTCCAAGAACATTTAACAACCTTTAACACAATATCACTCATCTCTAAGTTTATGTGACTATGGTAACCTAGTTTTTGAGGAACACAGTTTGGGGGGAACTGCTTTAACTGGTTCCTTTTATGTTTTGGCTACTAAGAAACTCAGGTCTCAATTTTCTGGCCGTAACAGTACAAGACCTTGGGCACACATTTCTGAATGTGGAGTCTCACTGGTCTCATCCACTTTCTGCTCTCATTTTTACTTCACCATGATTAGCTTTATTTTTAATCCTACTGAATAATGTTTATCTTATTATTATTATTTTAATCCTTAAATTATTATTATTAATTTTTCCATTGATATTGAAAGAGAGTGTAAGAGAGAGGGAAAGACAGAAAGAAATATCGATGTGAGAGAAACACATTGATTGGTTGCCTTTTGCACGTGCCCCAACCAGGGCCTGAGCCAGGTAGGAGCCTGCAACCAAGGTGCATGCCCTTGAACGGGATCGAACCCAAGACCCTACTGTCTGCAGGCTGATGCTCTATCCACTGAGCCAAACAGGCTAGGTCAATAATGTGTTTTTTTTAAAGAACCTAAAATCTATTTTTGAATGAAACAGAAGATTAATAAAACGCAGGTACTAAGATTTAACTACTTTTTTCTTAGATTTGGGTGTTTTATTCTTTTATTCTGTGTTAGCTTTATTTGTACTTTTTGTTTTATGAATGTTTTAAATACTATAATAAATGCAGCCTGAGTTTACTAATTTTAAAACTAAGTTCAGAAAGATCATGTTAAAAACCTTTATTAAAACATCATATAGAAGTTTCTCAAACAAGCATTTGTCAAGCTTACTTATTTCATGTTTCTTGATAAGCATTCAATTGAGACATAAAACATGATTTCTTTCTTTAAAAAAACATATTGAGGAAAGGGGGGGGTAGTTGACTTATGGCTCATAAAAATTAGCTTTATAATTAAGCAGTAAATCAAAATAAAGTGGCAAACTACAAAAAAATTCATTTAAATATAGGCAATGTTAAAATAAAACAGGGTAAAAAACATAAACATATATGGCTTTATTTTCAGTTATTTCACACTACAAGATATATTTGTGAGTTTCACCACACATATATCAGTAACTGAAGATAATACAATGGAGGCTTTACATTTCTACAGATTATCATTAGTGCTGACTTTGTATTTATCAAATATATTCATCATTCAACTTACAAAGAGATGTTTGCTACATAAATGGTTAACTTCTATTTCCTATTTTGCAACATCAATCGGCCAAAAAGTGGTTATTTATGTATTTCTCTCATTAGAGAAAATACATCTAACGGATTTTTTTTTTTAATTCCTATAGTCAGTAATATTATAACTAAGTATGGTGTCAGATGGGTTCTAGACTTACCGGGGTGATCACTGCAAAAGTTATATAAATGTCTAATCACTATGCTGTACACCTGCAACTAATATATTAATGTATGTCAACTATAATTAGAAAATTTTTTAACTTTTTAAATAATAATTCCTAAACAGCATACTTTTCATCTATTCATGTCTTTTAATCAAGCACAGATCTGCCACAGTATGCAAAACACCTGTCACAACTTTTGATTCTGCTACTTTGACTCACAAACTCTCCAAAATCGTCTTTAGAATGAGCTAATTCTTAATTAAAGGCATACTCCTAAACAGCCTACTTGTTACCCCCAAGTTCACTGTCATTTCAATAATATTCACAAACCTCTTGTCATTCTTTTCAAAGAGTAGAAAAAAAATGAGGCACGAGTCCGGGTGACATTTATTTTACCTTAAAAAAAAATGGTGAATTTTTACTAATATTGTTTACTGTGTTCGGTGTTCCTCAAATTATGGTCTATTGGTAGATCGCAACATCTGAGATCACAGAAAACTGACAACCACTTAACTACACATTCTCTCTCTCTCTCTCTCTCTCTCTCTCTCTCTCTCTCTCTCTCTCCCCGCCAAATACCTCTTACTGTAGTTTATAATTGCAGACATAAGGCAAACAAACAAAAAGGCCACCCCTTCCTATAAGAAACTTGACCTTCGGCATCAACCCCTCATGAGAAATTCACCGTCAGAACTCTCACCCTCCCCACTTATATGCAGGTGGACAATTTCAAAACTTCAAGAAAATACAATCCATCCTCACATAAAGATTTAAAAGCTCTAGTTCATGTTATCACTCTATTAGTAAAAATAAAGGACATACAGACCAAATATTAAATAATACCACTGGATCTGCTTTAAATAAAAAGATTATAGGATACAATTTTCTGAAGGGAAACAAAGAACTACAATTCCAAAAATTCTAGCTTTTTGTTTCCACATAATGGATTCTCTCTAACACATACATTTACATGAATATGTTTTAAAGAATAGATCTGTTCTTTCATATAGTGCAAAAATTATGAAAATTGGCAAATGACACGCTCCACCCAGACACAAAAATGATCCAAAATAAAAATGACACATTGTTCCTATAAGGAAAAATAAGCAGCTGAAGAGTTAACTCTAGCTTTACTGTAATAAGCAACAGTCTGGAAATAGCCAAAATAATCAAGACTAAAAACAAAAAAACAAAAAAATCAATATTACTAAGCCCAAGAAAGCATAGTTATTAGAGGTACTTAACTCACCAGAAAAGATGGTTCTTTGCTTTTTAAATATGGATTAAAATAAATCTAATTTTTCTTCTTTCAAGAAAATGCTAGTCCAACTCATGTGAAGAAAACTGGCCTACAGTGGAAATGGCCCAGTACAGTAAAACCTCATTAATTCTGATTCCACTAATTAATTCTGAGGTGGTTACCTTTGCAGGCTGTGTGAAAACAAATTAATGGTATAAACAAAGCAAATGTCTAGCCTATTTAAATGGAAAATGGAAAAAGACCACTCTGAAGCACCACTTTGGTATTAATTTTAATTCAACAATGGACAGCATAACAATAAATAATTCTCAGCTATCTGCTAAATGAAGGCCCTTAAAAGATTTGCTAAAACACAATTAACTTGGTTTATTCTTATCTATCCTCAAAAGTATTAAAGAAGCACTTCTTAAAGAATATATTATAGCCCCTATCTCTCTTTGATTTAGACCTGGCTTCCCCACAAATGAGCTGAATTATTATTATTATTAAATACCAGAGATCTTGGTTATTGAATATTTTCTTCACCAACAGTGATTTGTTCTATAATTTGATTAATTTCATTCTATTTAATATTTTTTTCATTTCAACTGGAAAAGTCACCTAAAACATTAGTTAACATCAGGGCATTAAAATGAGAATGTGTCTTAAGACATTTAAATTGTGTAATTAAAATAATAACACAACTACTAAAAAATGGGAACCTTATATCTTTAAATTAATTGAAAAGCATTTATGCTCAGAACTTTTTTTGATCACACACCCATTCATTAAAAAAGTTTGCAATGTATTCCCAGTATACATATATTTATAAATTACATATGTACGGTGCCAATATATCATGTATGCTGTAATCCATGAACAAAAATATATATTTCAAAAGGATGACTCAAAGTTTAAATAAACAAATTTAAGATGAAGTGAAAATTGTCATAAAGGTCTTGCTAACAACTTTAACTTTATATTAGCACTAGAGGCGTGGTGCACGAAATTCGTGCACTCAGGGAGGGGGGTCCCTCAGCCCGGCCTCCTATGCCCTCTCATAGTCCAGGAGCCCTCGGGGGATATCGGACTGATGGCTTTGGTCAGACATCCTTAGCACTTCTGCGGAGGTGGGAGACGCTCCCGCCACCGCTGCTGCACTTGCCAGCCGTCAGCCAGGCTTCT